AAATCTGTACAGTGTGAGTGTGTCTGGTTGAACTCCTCGGGTCGACAAAGCGTCATTAGCATGTCAGAGGCGTTTTCGTTAGTACCCAGTTCTCTCCGTAACAGCTGCTAGTCTGGCGAATTACTCAATTCATGTGTGTATGCGTGTGGCTGTGCGTCCATGTTTATGCACGTGTGTGTTCAGTATAAACAAAGGAAGAAGCAAACAGAAGGTTTCATCAAAAAACCTAAAGTGTGTGTGTGTGCTGTGTCTCATGTACTCACTTTGATGATTGAGGAAATCTCCGTCAACATCTTGCCTATATGTGTGTGTGTGTATGCGCAGTATGTTTGTGTGGCATGTTTGCGTGTGGTTGCATAAACACGGTGTCAGAGTGATGAGATGTTCTCTCCATCCATCTGTTCGGCTGGCATTTACATCTTAAGAGGGCGACAATGGAGGAGAGATAGAAAAAAGAGAGCGAGAGAGAGCACAAGAAGGACGGAGACAAACTGTTGAGTGTAGAGATTTTACGATGATGTTAGTTTAGTCTGTCAGTCAAAGGAGCAATAACAGACTCTCAGGTCACCTGTGGAGCGCTGAGCCTCCATGCTGCCATGATCTTTTAACATGTCTGAGGGTTTCTAAGTATCTGTGAGAGGATGTGGGAGAGTGAAGCTGCAGCGTGTCTTCCTGTGGATGTGGTCATGGTTACTAGAGTGTATATCTGTGTCTTTGTGTGTGTTTGTGAGACAGAGAGAGAGCTCATTGTTCTGTGCCTCCTTATCTGCCGTCTCGGCGGAGAGCCCAGGCTGTTTCCCCCCTCAGCGATGTGACCCGGCTATGATACCACTCGCCCTCGTCTCCACAGATAACAGACCACCCTAAAAATACTTCTCTTTCTACCACTCTAACACTCTTTCCCTCTGTTCTCCTCACCTCTTCTGGCTCACTGTATCCTCCGGAGTCTCCCTGGCCAGGAGTAAGCTCTGCCAGACTAAGATACCTCTGGGCGCTTCCTAATGTCACAGAGGTCCTTTAATTCTATATTTTCCCCTCTTTTCGTCTTCTACTACTCATTCTGTTGGAGGCCGTGGATGTTACAGTGTCAGTTTGAACAGCAGAAGTGCAACTCAGACTGTTACATCACAAGTTTTCTTATAATTTTCCACAATAATTCCTCATCCCCCCCGCAGCTACTTCAGTCACCCACACTCTGGACACACAGGGCAGATGGGATGTAGGAGGAGACGGTGAGGACAGAATCTGCTGGGCTCACATAATTATACATCAAGTAATTTACCATAACTCCTCAATAAAATATTGAAGAGCGCATTGTTTTCCATGCCTCGCGGGTCTGACAGTCTGGAACAACGCTAATTATGACAAACATTTTTTGAAGATCATGCCACAGCCAAGTGCTCTGAGAGATTTTTCATCTCTCTGCCGCCTTCCTCGCTGCGTAAACTCTCCTCTGTTGTGAAGTGCTTTTAAGGATACTGACAATGACCCTTTCTGTAGTTTTGAGGAAGTTTCTTGCTAATTTAAAACGCTTTTATCCCAAGCTCCTTTGCCACATTTGACATTTAGGGTTAGAAAGCATTTGTTTTTGTTCTTTTTGTGTGTGTGCCTATGTGTGTGTGCGCGCATCCTTGCCTTTCTTTTGGCCCAAGCCCACGCAGGTGACAAGAGGGGGCCTTGTGTGGGTGGACAACTCAATGGTGACCCCCTCTCTTTACCCTCCCCCCCTACTCTCTCCTCCCCTTCCCTTTTTTCTTGCCCTCCGTCCAGCAGTATGAGTCCGAAAAGAGGAAGGAGAGGGGGCCCAGGAGGAGATAAAGTCTGTTTCACACCCACCCTCAAGCAAACATACTGGCCAAAATTTTGCAGTAACAGCATAATAAGAAAATGTTATTGCAATACAAGTTTGCCTTTGATCATGAAGTGGCAGCTTGTGTAAAGATGCAGGAGGAGAGGAGGCTGTAAGTTGCTTGTGCTTAATGGATCATTTAGAAAACAGAATATTAACATGGTTATTTTGATAAGGGATTAACTGTTCAAGCTGCACTAATCAATATTTCATTATTAACAATGGGGAAAAGTCCGATTTGAAAGGAGTCTGTCAAAGTTACGCACCAACAGAGAATCATCACCCAACTCTGCGGTTCCCCTCAGCTCTACGGAGCATTTTGAATGAAAGCTACTGAGGCTCTGCATCTGCTGAATTTGTGATAGGAAAGTGTTTGCTAACTTGCTAACACGTTAGCAGATCAAGTTGATAATTTGTCTATGTTGTGTTTACAGCTTGTTAAGTGGCCAAAAAAAAACAAAAACACAAAAACAATTATTGCTTTAACTCATTCTGAAATAATAAACATTTTCTGTAAATAGCTTCTCAGAGTATTTGCTGTTTTTGCTGTTTTTCTCTTTTACAAAGCATTGTAAACTGAAAAACTGAGGTAACTTGATATACATTGTTCACATAGAACATTTTTTGGACTGAATGATTTAGGGCTGCAACTGATGACTATTTTCTTCATTGTTTAATCTGACAATTATTTTCCCAGATGACATTTTAAAACAGCTTGTTTTGCTTCTCTGGACCAACAGTCCAAAAAACATCCAATATTCAGTAATATAAAAGAAAGAGAAGCAGCGTATCTTCACATTGAAGAAGCTGAAACGGAATTTCTGGAATATGCTTAAAAATTACATAAAGGATTAATAGATGATCAAAATTATTTAAAATTACGTTAATTATTATTTAATAGTCTGGTCATCTATTCATCAGCTCTAAAACTATTCATCGTATAAAACAAACAAACCATAAATGAATCAATAATGAGAATAATCATTCACAGTAGAGTTGTAACATAACAGGAGAGCGTGTGTCTGCGTGTTTCATCGAGGAAGACAGGATGACAATAAGAGGCTGTGTTTTACGGAGGATTAGTGGGGATTAGGCTGTCAAATCAGACGATTGTCCGGTTTATCACGTTACTTTTCCCTTTATCAGCAGTCACAATAGGTTGCACGAACATATGCACAAACACACAGAAAGAGGATGAATTATAAGCCAGGATATAAACTGCCCCTGATCTTGTGAAATGAAATCGTATTAGTTGAGGGGAAGGATGTTTGGGTGACTCCCAAAGTGTCACTTTTTTCTGTTATATTTACTGCTTCTCTGTTGCTGAATGACTTTGTTGTATAGCAGTGCTGACATCATCTTAAACTACAGTTTGAGATATTCAGGTTGTGTGGGACATTCACTTCACATCCATTTATCATGTGTTGCTTGACATCCATCAGTGACCCATTCCAACACTGCCCCCCTATGGGTAAAGGTAGCAAAAACTGCTGTTCATCAAAGTGGCATGAGTTTGTGTGACGTGCTAAACTGAGATGTGTGGGCCTGACTGCCAAGTGGGAAGACAGAGGAGGGTTTCAAGGAGGGCACAAGTTGGGCAACTCATCACGAAGAACACAATGAGTCATGATTTCTGAAACTGTCACGAAATGTCAAAGCTCAGGACAGTCAAAGCTAATTTTAGCTTAACAGATCAGACAAGGTGGTGTCTAGGCACTAACAGACAAAAACATTACTGAAGTGCAACGATATAGGCTTAATAACAATACTGAAGACTTAAATATTCTAATCTGGCAGCACAAAAGAAATACTACAAATACCAGGGTGTGTTTCCTTATGACAGTTATTCCCATAGACACACATTCTTAACATTATCCTCTCAGTTAATGTCTGTGGGAGCAGGAGAAGAAAAAACAACTAATTTCTGGCATATACGCACCTATTAATCACAGCTACAGTGCATGGGGGGAGATTTAGGCTCATGGAGGCAGCACGGCCTCCATACTATGACAGCAAGCATCTGCATTTCTGAAGTGCCCCTGAGAAAGACACACTGAATCCCCGTCAGCTACAGTGGCATTAATAATATTAGTGACCGTCACACTTTATTTCTCAAAACTCAATATTCACTATATTGTACAAAGAAAACGAGTTGCCAAAGTTTAGTTTTAGTGTTTTCTTATCGCCTGGCAAAAATAAACCACATACTGTGTGTAGCGTAAATGGCGTAACAGAAAACTTGTGTTGACTGTACAGCATTCATGAATTCATTCATGTTGCTTTCACAGTATTTTACTAGTCATTTAGAGCTTGTACGTGTAGTTTTTGAGATGTACACTACGCTATAGAGAGTTTACAACTTGAAGATGTTGTGCCTATCTAGGTCAGCTGAGCTAGATTTGGAGTTGTCAGCTTTCTGTGGACTAAATAGGTCATGCTAACGAGGAGGGGGGGTTTTGACAAGCCTCTCATACCCCATCAGTTCTTACCACAAAACAATCTCAAGATTGCTGATCATGTGAAACATCCGGACTCCAACTTTAAACTACAATGTCAAATTATGACAATTAATATTACAGTCGTCTAATATTTTCTAGTGTCAACACTAGAAAATATGACCAAGTAAAGGTGATAATTTGTGTAACAAATCCCATTTAAGTCTAATTATGCACGCACATGCACTGTGAACTAAATATGCGGCAAAATACTGTAGCTTGGGAGAAATCTAAATGAAGCGAAGAATGTTTAACGATTAGAATCTGCTGTGCTGTAGCATGATTATTAACCCAGAAAGCATAAATATAGATGAGAGCCCAAGGAGACAACATGAACCGAAAGCATCAGTGCACCAGTTCCAGAGGCCCATGTGCCCACATAAATAAATGTAGGTGTTGCGAAATGGTACGGTAGAAATTTAATTTGTGATCAAAGTGCAATGTCTGCAACTTCAGCTGCCATGATGCAATAGTGGGCTTCCTGTCCTCAATTTGGGAGCCACAGGTTACCAAAAAAAAAGCACCATAAGTATATATATAACTGCAGATATATGTATTGTTCTCTGCTGGTTCTTTGCACTGTCAACATGACTCCGACAGGTATGCTCACCGTGACAACCGCTCTCCTCTGCATCATACTGAGCCTCATCATTCCAGCCCCAGCTGCCCGTAAGTTTATTTGATCAGATTTGCCTTGAAGTTTAAAATACAGTCAAAATTACATCAGGTGATCAGTTCATAATGTGGTGTCTGTGTGTGTTTGTGTGAAATAGGTCCTCGCATGGGCAAAGCCTGTTGCATGAGATACAATAGGAAGCCAATACCCTTCGAGCGTATAAAGGGCTACAGAGAACAAACCACCAGGGAAAACTGCCGCATGGAAGCGATCATGTAAGAGTCTTTACGACAGAACCATAAAACTCCAATCCTGCCAGTCCCAATCTGAGCTATTTGAATATTATTGTCATAACATATCAAACTTTTATGAGAGGGCTCATGAAGACAAAATGATTCCATTAATTAAAATGTGTTTAGTAAAAAGCATGTTGTTTCTGCAGAATTTATTGCCATAAAATAAGCCATTTGATCTAGTCCACCACAAAATTTTACTCTCAAAACTGTCTTGATTTCATAACTCTGAACAGCCATCTGTTTGGTCTACTCCATATCTCAATTAATTATGTTTACAACTTACTTGTACACAAGCTGTCTAGTCTATAAGATTGACAAAATCTAATTACACAATAGTGGCGTGTAACAAATCTCAACTCTACTTTTTTGTCAATTAGTGTCAAGTACTGATAGCAGGCATTGAATACTTGGTCAGACACTTAGTCCTGCTCTCTTTTTTATCAGATATTTCATTACATAAATCAAATAATTTAAGAGTATTTAAGGCTACATTTTGTTGTAAGACAACATGAAACACTGCATTTGGTAAACTTGTCTCATTCTGTTAAAATAAGAAATGTTTTTGTCATTGTATTCCTCAAAATCAGTCATCAAAAAAGCATTGTTTTAGTATTGTTACTGGAACTCGGGTATCAAATAGGCACCACTATCAAAATATTATACCTATACTATCCACTCATACACTGAACTTCAATATAGTGCTCTCTAACTGTGCCAAATTATGTGTCAATGTCTCAATGTTGTAGTTTCTACACGTCTAAGAAGAACGAAATATGTGCAACTCGGAAGGATGCGTGGGTGAGGAATATTCTGGAATTACTCAGGTATGACACTCCTACTCACTTTTAAATATTAATCAGTTTCAGTTTAGACCTTAAAATCAGGACCTGCTTTGCGTGTGAACATTGTTTTTGGTATTGTGAGTGAAAACTCTTCTCTTCTTTATAGTTCAAAGCTGAAGAAGATGTCCAAGCCTGGCTCTGCTGCAGGTGAAACTCAGAAGAAAAGCGTAAACCCTACATTTAACGACGGAAGTGGCTCTTTCTCCAGTACCACAGAAGCCTTCCAAAATATCACTGAAAGTTTCTATTAACAAAAATCAGGTTGCGGCCTCAGAGATTTGGAACTAAATAATTTGTGCTATAGAAATGCTCATTTTAGATAATGTTTTAGAGAAATTGAACCTTCTGTAATCCAGCCATGTTGGGAATATTATCTATGAAAAAGCAAAGAAATGATAATTACTTTTACTTGCCTCAACATATGCAGCATCCTAATACTCCTTTTAATCGTGACTTAAGGAGAACCATAGAAGAACAGCTTTGAGACTATTGATGTAGATTATGTGCTTAGCCACTTAGCAAATGTTTACTATTGTTTTTTTTGTGTGTGGCTATGCTGTTTCATTCCCTGCTATGTTTAATCAAGTTAATGTGCTAAATATGCCAGTTCTCATAAATCAATAAATTGACTTCACAGTACTCCAACATTGTTGTTCATATTTATTTCATCAAACTACAACAGTGTCTCACTGAAGTGTCATGTAAGCCATGGCTAACTTAGTGTTAAAATGTATTTTAATACTGATTAAAGAGCAGTTGGTGCTTAAACCAATCGTATAACATAATTAAGTAACATAATTATTAAGTACATAATAATGTGACTCTCGATGGGAAAATCTCCTAACATCATTAAAAGGTTTATTTTCCAAACATACATGAATAAGGCCCAAAATTTGTGCAAACTTGTGAGTAGACTTCTGTTTCGTGTGTGTGGTGTGCATTTTAGTGGCGTGACATGTACCCGGTGTACTCAGAAAAGGATGCTGCCAGCCAACTGCTGGAAGGTGCCTGAAAACTTTTCGGTAAACTGTCCTGCTCCCACTCCCCCCTAGGCTAATGCAAATGCATGAGATGACTGACAGGGAGGCAGTCTCTTGTGCTATTTCAGATCAGCACCCCAAGGGGTTGGGGCTCCAGGCAGACAAGGTGACTCCCTCAATGACACGCTCCTCTCATCCAAACTGTCATTTCCCCACTAGATGGCAGAATTGATCTGTTAAACAACTGCCTCTGTCAGCTTCATCATGCTGTCTTGATGGTAATTTGATAAGCACAGCTACCTTTTATTTCCAATATCAACCAATATATATACAATATATACAACGAGATGTATGGATAGAGGACAAGAACATTTATTTAGTTTGCAGCAAACAACAGACATTTTGGACATAATCATTATGGATCTCTGTTAGCCTTATTTTAACTAAATAGACAGGAAAATTTAAGGAAACACAAATAAATAGGACATGGAATAAATATTAAATAGTACAGAATAACATAAAAAAGCATTTTAAAGCATTTTAAATATTTTAACTTAATGCGGCGCAATTGGCTATAGACATTCATGGGGGTGAGTGGTGCTTTCTAAGGGCTTGCAGAAGTGGTAGAAGCAGTAGTAGCACTCTTTGCTTTGCGGGCCTGCCTGTAAAACACACAAAGAAGAAATTGTTTAAATAACAGTTTATGCTGTCCCTGAGCATAGGTAATACGTAATGTCTGAGGCAGCCAACTAGCAAAGATGGTCAATACTGGAGAATGACTGGGATGACAAAGGCCTACTTACTCTAGCTCCATGATCTTGGTAAACACCCAGTCCTGTTTCCAGTGGCTGCAGACTTCTCCCTCTGTGGTCTCAAATCTGGGTGGAATAAAAAAGAAAAGATCAATCACAATCTCCGAACCGAGAACTTGGATTGTCAACTGTGTAACAGGTAAGATTATCACTCTCTGTTAAATAAAATAAGAAGGTGATTCTTACATGACAGCGCGGACACATGGGAGATTCTTCCTCTGGATTCTGTAGCCCAAGATGGTGGAACTGACGTTCTTGACACTAACCTCAGTGCAGCACTTGGCTACCTTTATTTCTGTTTTTTACAGAAACAAGCAAGGATTGGTTGTTATGAGCATACATCTCTTTCATTGTTCAAATGTGCATAGCAGGGTCAAAGTTCTTATGTGGACTCTAGCTGTCCTGAAGCAGGCTAGCAGTGTAATATGATGCAGGATCTCTGAGAGGCAACTTACCAGAAGCTGTTGCTGCCATTGCAAGAACCCCGACCAGGAGAGCCAAGCATGCCAGTCTTCTGATGCACAGCTGCATGGTTATTGTGGGAGATGTTCCAGAGGTTCTTTGCAAAAGAGATAATTGTTTGATCTGGCAGATGGAGATGACTGATCTCTTGGACCAGACCTTCGGGTTTTATACGATGAAAAGAGGAACTAGGACAAACTGACCGGATGAACTGTCTCTTAGGACTTTCTTCATAGTGTGTGTGGGATTTAGGGTGGGGGAAAGGACGCACTTGGGTGACGCTGTAATCAGTCATTTCCTTTTTTGTGATTTCATCATGACATTGACTGAGCTGACTCAGAAATGTACTGATATGATGGACATTCCTAAGGACTCCCTTTTATTAGTTTTTCTATTACTTTTGATAATTTAATTAAATACATTAATAACAAACTAATAAAACTGCCTTAATCTTCTAATATAGTGGATTTCCAGCAGGTTAATCTAATTCAGTTTGAAATGCCAACAATTCAAAATAATCTGTGATGCAACACCGTGCAACAGAACCAGACTTAGAAGCATGTGACTTTTGTGGAGTGATAAGGAAATTGTAACATTCCTAAAATGAATACACGAAACAAACATAAATGCTGCACCGCTTATAGCCATTTTAGGTTTGACTGGCGCTAGTTTAATTACGTCATCTTGTTGCAGCCTATGCTTTTGCAGTGGTTTAATGGCACCTTACTGGAAGATTAGTGCAACCAGCTGTTTATCTTAATTGACCAACTCCTAATAATCGAATAACAGTAGTGGATGGAAGCATGCAATATTTTCTTTTGTGTATTTAAATATTTTTTTTTTTGAATATGCGCTACATTTAAAAGGAAAGCTAGCTTATGTATCAAGCTTTCTATAAATGATGGCATCAGGTCCAGGGTGTTCCCAGCTTCCCACACAATGCATACTTCAATGCACTCCACTAAGTATGGTAAGAATAGACAATGGATAAATACATGTACATACAATGTATGGATGGGTATTCATATTATACTGTATTAACAGTGTTGTTTTTTTATTAACCTGGCTAGTTAACTATTTCAAATGATTGCATTTAGGTATAAATCCTGCTGATTACAGCAATAATGTAAGGCAACATCATGTGCTGGTCACTCTACCCAATGTGTCACATTTTTCTCTCTGTCCCTCCTCTTTCTCTGGTGCTGGCTGTAATTGTCAGTGCAGGAGCACAAAAGGGGAAGGAAGGAGAACCTAAGGCTTTCCACCGCAAATTTCCGAGCATCCTCCACCCAAATTTGGTCATTTGTCCTTGCATGCTCTAGTTACAAGTCTCAACTTGTTTGAGGGGAGCTTAGATTTAGACAATTCAGATAATTCAGTATAAAGATCAAACTTACTTTGCAAGTAGAAATGTATTCCTTGATATACTGAATATCTGATTTACCACAAAATAAGTGGGGAAGGGTTCCTTCAGTTTACTTGCAGCTTAATACAAAGCTGCCAGTGAAGTAACTGCCAAAAAGAGTAATAATCAGATTCCTTGCCAGTGAAACAAAGCTGCCAGTTACATCCCACAAGACACAAGTTGGTTAAAAAAGCGAATTAATTTGCTCTGTCTAGCTTTTATATTCTTTAAATAATGATTCATACATTTTGAATGTTTTGCATTAATGCTATATATAAGTAACCTCCATCTATGACCAGTAATGCTGGGTGATATACTGCATGGTTTCTGCTGTAAAAGCTTTGTTTCCTGTGTAACATTTAAGAAACATCACTTTGAATACAGTATAGTAGTACAGTAGAGTATTTTATGTCAATTTATATTATTTTATGTCTATTTTAAAATATTTGGTTTTGAAAAGTAATCTGTGTTAAAGTTGTTAGCATACAAACATAGCCGTTTGCACAATAAAAATTGTTTACATTCTGGAATTTTCCTTCTTTATGGTAGACAGAAATGTTATAATGCTCCCCATGCCACTTTGAAGTCATCTACAAACCTTCTTTGTTCCTTTGGCATCCTCTCTGACTGTTTGGCTGACTAGACTAGATCAGCTGATATGGTTAAACACCAACAGAAAAATCTAACAGACAGACAGACTGTCTCCTTTATGCGTTGTTATGACCATATTTGGGACACTAGTAGATCTTGTGGGTCTAGGTTTGTTGTTGTGTTAAATATCCCTCGACAGGAGGTAACCTTTGGACCGTGCTTTACTTGTTTTGCTCATCTTATTCTCCTCGAGCGTCAAAAATTCCTCTGCTGCATAAGTCATCAAGGTCTCCTGAAACCTTCTTTATGAAGAAGTGTTTCTTCTTCATCCAAGTTTTTAAACACTATAAACCTATATAAAGGCCCAGTCAGAATCTTACAAAATACTGTGATACAAACTTATGGTCATACTGCCCTGCACAAAATGACCTGTTTGAATTGTATTACTGGAACTCATCTGCACCAACAAGTCTCTGGCACCTCACCTCCACTCACAAGAGTACAACAATAATGGTATGAAGCCTACTTTACCACACAAACAGTATTTCAACCTCAGGACAGAGATTTCAATGAATAAATTCAAGAATTAGTGACTTGCAGCTGTATCTGCCAATCAGCCAAGTGTCACATAATATATACTCTATATATATTATGTAACGGGTGTAAAGTTTTTTCAGCTAAATGGAAGTTGTTACATTTTTTAACTTACATATGTATGATTTCAGTGACTATACATTTTTGAACTGATTAATGAAGGATTATCATAGATGTATTCGCTAAACAGGCACGTACATGATTAATGTGTAAAGATCAGAATCAGAATCAAAATCTAAATCAGAATCGGGTTTATTGCCAGGTAAGTTTACACATACGAGGAATTTGCCTTGGTGCATAAGAATCAATAGTATAGTATAGCTAAAAAGTGGTGCTTTGTTTTCTTCTTGAATGTTTAGATACAAAGCGTCTCTATGAGCTGTGGGTGAAACTCACTCACTCACAGGATAATCATTAACTATATGGTGTTTGTAGTTTACATGACTCCAATAACGTCCCGGCGCTTGGAATTCAGAATGAGGCAGAATGAGAAAGGCAGATGAAAGACTGTCCTGTGCTAGTTATTGTTTACTCATTGTGTCGCCCCAGTCGACATGTGTGAAATCTGGAATCGGCCAATTCATTCGTAAATTAATACTAACAACCTCATTTCAGGTCACGATGACCTTTTTTCCCTCCCAAACATAATACGGGTGTTGTCGGTGCAGAGGAATAAAAAAAGTTAATTCACAGTGATAAATGGCATCAACATGGCAGCAACCTGAGGATTGTTTCGCTGAGTTTTCAAAGCAATAAATAGTCCTTGAAAAAAAGCAGAACTCGTGATCTCAGACTTTCTCA